TGATCTGTGAAACAGAAAAGAGCCCGTGTGATTACATGATCCTGACCAAGACCGGAGATCGATTGATCACGTGACCCGGAAAATCCCACCTACACCCTGTATTTGTCCGAAATCGGCATCTGGTTTGTATCACTCTCCTGCAGAATCATTTCCCATAGTCGATTTTTTTATTAATAACGAATATTACAAATTTATATCTAGACCATTTTTTTATTATACAACATATGATCTCGCGATAAGAAAAAGCACAAATGGGACTTAAAAAGGCTATAAGGGTAATTAGTATAACGTTCTTTATCAGTAGTTTTATCCAAATTCATATGTTACAGAGACTTTGAATCTCCGCCATCTCCCGAGATCGTCAGATCTAAACCTTCCTTAAGCAATTGCCGAATCTAAGGGGTTTAATTTCACCAAAAAAAATGGCAATACGGATTCAGTATTTGGAGCTTATGACCGAGCAGACTTGCTTTATGTGGCTGGATCTGTATTGTGTTAGAGTAACGTCATTTAGCGAATTTTTAGATCTAGAGAATGAACAATATAAATAAGCGAGTTTTAACTTGTATGGTAAGTTGGCAATAACGTTTTTTTTTTGCTCGAATTTTTTTTGTTAACAAGGCTTACACATTTACATTTTATTTTCGAGGTAATTATACGAGGTCATGTCTCTGTAGGCTTATTGTTTAACGAGTACTGAAAGCGAAACTTTACTTATAAGCTTTTTTTATTTAGCACAAAATGAGCAGTACTAACGATATCACCACCCCCAAGACCAACAAAAGCAATGCCCCCAAGACCAACAATAGTAATGCACCAAGACTAATGATTCTAACCCCCCTATAACTATCATTCCAACACTGCCTAATCCAAGACCTAACCAAAGGACACCTAATTCTAATCGTCAGCGTGAGAATAGGAGAAACAGATATGGTAGGAGGTAACTTTTGTTAGAAAGTGTTCTTCATATATTTGTGAAACTAGCAAGGCTAAATCTCATTTTATCGGGCCATGTCCATGCATTCTGTGCATTAAATTAGACAATTCAACCTATGACCCCAGAGAAGATGATGACTATAACGTTGATGAAGGTAGACCCTTGGACAATTTTTTAGAAGAATATTCAGAATGGTGTGAGGAAAATGACTTCAATGAGTATGAGAATCCTGGACAATGACAAGAAAGGCTAAATCAATAAATAGTTTATATTTTTTTGTCTGTAGTATGCAACTGCGATGTATTTTTTTTTATTTGTATATTGCTTGGCAACAATTTTTTATGAAATAAAGAGGGGGCCTCATGGGCTCGCCATTTTTTATTTTAACATGATTCTTGTAATGCAATTTGCGATTATTAATTAGTGGAGATAATAGAGTTACACCTAGTTACCTTATTAACCTATGCTTTTACGGTTACTATTTGGATTGAATTCTGATATTTATTCCCCCAACATGTAAGACGATAAGTTTTTTCACCACAATATTCGCCACTACCCCATTCTCCCTCTATATAATTTCTTATAATTTCTTTTTTATAGTTTTTATTGCATATAGGACAGAGTACAGATCTATTAAAATCAAAATAATTACTATATTTAAAACTATGTTTCAAAGTTAAATAAGGAAATCGCTTTAATACTATTTTAATAACATGTTTTTGTTTCTCTTCCAGGTCTTTAGGTAGAATAGAAATTGATGATCGAAGTTTGGATGGTGTAGGCTGAACATTTATCTGTGGTACAAATAATGTCTTTTTTTTGGCATCTTTTTCGATTTGTGAGGATTCAGGAGTTTCAGACTTTATCCAGGGATCGAGTCCAGTCTCTTCTGTATATGCTCTATATAAGCTCAAACGAATTTTATCTGTCTGAGAACTTGGTAAATCAACTAAATTAGCATGCCATTTGCAATAGTCATCAGTTAACATTTTAGACGAATAATCTTAGAGGCAGTTACGAAGTGGCTAGAAGACATGTTATTATTTATATAAATGCAAGTCAATTCAAAATCACGTAACTGTCAAAGAAAAAAATATCACTGTTCACTTATTGGCTCATGTCCAGATTTGTGTAGTTGCCTACTTTTGAGATATATGAATTGACAGGAGTGAATACTTTTAATCATCTTATTAGAGCTAGTATAGTTTATGCTGTTATTTCGATTTCACGCTTTCCACATATAATAAAATAGAATCCAGCTTCGTATCTACCTTTTATACTTTTCCCTTCCTCATGACTTTTCTTACATACTGGGCATAATGATCCCTCAAGAATTCTATAATAATCAAATTTTTCACTACTAAATTCTTTATATAAATTAGAATATAGCAACAATATTTTATTACGAAAGCAAACATGGTCATGAGTCAGATTATTTTGCTTTTCAGTTAAAGTCTTCTTGAGTTGAGGTGTAGATATACTTTCTTCACTCATTTTGACTTCTGGTAAGATCTTAGTTTTCACAAAAGAGTTAGAGGTTTGAGGTTTGGCGGGTGTACTTACCTCATGCAAAATTTTGGCTACATGATTTTGGCGACAGGCCGTTGTCGAAATTCCACTCATGTTATTTTCTATATTAGACTCATTATAATCAGAAATATTATCAATAATCTTTTGGATTTAATCGTTTGTCAATTCTGAAATAGAATTTGCACTGTATGCTACTTAATTTTATCAATGCCTATTTTTTTGAATAATTTATAAATCTTTATAGCCCTTTGGGTTTTTCTACACAAAGTTTTATGCGAGATTTCTGGGAGCTGTAATCCCACTTCCTTGGATCTTTTTTCATGGATGATAGTAAGGTGCTCTAATATTTTATCATAAATTATACCTTTTGCCTTTTTCTCGCCAATTTTGCCATTACTGTTTTTTATAAGGTCATTATATTGAATTACGAATTCTTTTCCATAATTAATCCAGCATAAGGTTTCTTCCTGGTTAGCTTTTGTAGCATAATATTCAGCATTTGTTGCTTTATCAAATAATTGAGCTAAATCGAGTAATAAGATTGTATCAGAATTTTGACGACAGGCCGTCGCTGAAAATTCAGTCACATAATTTGAGGAAGCAAAGCTTTGAGTCTCCAACTCATCTGAAATAACATTATCCTGAATGCCAACAGCTATCACCTGGGCGATATTCTCTGTTCCCTTTTTCTTGTGCGATTGAGATGTTTTGCCCTGGCTTTTATGCTGATTCTGATCCCAAAGCTTTTTCACAGTTTTCAGGTCCAGAGATTCAGGTGTTGATGTTTCAGATTGAGTTGAGTTATTATGTGATTCTTGAAGTTTTTTTTCCCAGTTTCTTTCTTTTATCTCACTACTAATCCTTTCCTTGTGTCATTGTTTCTAAAAATTCGAGGGTCTCAGCTGAATTATTATCGATAATATCTTGTAATAAAGAGGTTGTAAATGTTTCAGGTTCCATTGAAGATTCAAATTGTGTTGAGCTATATTCTATTTTAGGCAAAGGATCAGGAGTAATACCTTTCTCCTCATAAGAATGGTTCTTGATATGTGGTGAAATATCTTTTGTATGAGATGCTTCCTGTTCATTAGTAATAATCTGGATCTGTTTCTGTTCCAATTTCGTGATTCTATCTTTAAGCTCAGTATTTTCTTCTGCGGTCTGTTCCAATTTGGCGATCCTGGCTTTGAGCTCATCATTCTCAGCTTCTCGCCTGGCATTCTCTTCCATAACCTGTTTTAAAAGCTCGGCATTCTTGGCTTCGAGCTCAGCC